TGATTATCTTCTCTTTCTTTTTTCAAATGTCTCTCCAGTATGCCCAGTCTACTGGTTTAATGAAATTTTCTCTTAATTGGGTATTAGAATGGGTGATCGTAGCTGTGCCAGGAAAGTTAGACCCAGTCAAATGGTGTACTAAACTGCATAAACTTTAAATACATCAGGAGATACTATGCTTATCTCATGAGACACTAGAAAAAGGAGCCAGAAAGTGTCAGAGGTGCCACTCTGTGTTAGTGATATAAGGTTGACTTGCTAGAAATTGTTCGTACATTCTCTGATAAGATATAATTTTAAAAAATTTTATAGATGGTGAAAAATATTGTCTTTCCTTCTATACCGCTAAGGCAGTGATGGCCAGTGTTTTCTATAAAGGGCCAGACAGTAGATAGTTAGGTTTTGTGAACCATATGGTCTCTGTCTCAACTACCCAACTCTGTTGTAGCAGGAAGGCAGCCAAAGACAATACATAAATGAATGGGAATGGCTGTGTTCCAATAAAACTTTATTTACAATAACAGGTGGTGGATAGGATTTGGTTCCCAGGCTGTAGTGTGTCAACTATATCTGCTCTCTCGTGCGTAGGTTGAATGATAGGTGTGGGCTGCACTAGTGTGTAGGATAAAAAAGTAGAGTAAAGAGGGAAGGGAAAGCAGCAAGGTATCAATGGATGTGGAAGGAAGTGCAGAGGTGGGGTGGGGAAAAGGAAGGCAGGAGATGTGCGCGAAGTCAAATATGAACACAAAGAGTAAGAATGGAGGTTGCAGGAAACATTGTGTGGGGATCTGTATTTGATGAGAATATCTCGGATAAGAACAATAATAGATTGGAAAAAATACAATTTTAGGCAAATTAAGAGTGTGATGTAAAGTCCTAATATCAGTTACTTTTCCCAGGGGTTCCAGATTCAGCTGTCATATACAGTTTATTACACGTGTTCTTAAATGTATCTAAGTTTTGATCTACTGTGGCTTACTACCTCTTCCTTTGTATCCTGTTGGTGAAAACATAGCTAGTTCTACGTTTCATGGTTTTTTTTTTAAAAAATGGAACATTGGGTCCAGATGGATTTGTAGCTGTGCAGGATAAAAGCTGCAGCTTCCCATTTTGAGAGTTGAGTAGCTTTTCTAAAAGTGACCAACTTAATTTTATAGTCGATATATCTAGCAGAAACTGCTTTTTTGGTGTTATGGTTTGAATACAGATTAGTATCTTACGAGTAAAGGCTAATCAGGAATAGATATAGGACCACATGGAGTTTGTGAATCACTAAATTCTGAAACTAGGTTGTTATAATAAAATAAATATGTATTTTTGACTTCTTCGAAAGTTTCATTTATTTTTCTCTACATTTTTAGAGCTTATATATTAGAAATATCTGCTTTCTGAAAGTGTGTAATAAGAGAAAAAAAGTAAACTACTTTTTCTAAAAATAAAAATTTTAGAATGGAGTAATGTAGGTGTTTTTCTTTATTCTTTGTCAAAATATGAAATTGTATGACCTTTATAGAATGTTAATAAAAATATATACTATTTGACAGTTGAGATTTATATTATGAAATGCTATGGAAAAAAATCTGTATGTTAAAAATGAAAGCCATTTTGAAGTAAAAACATTGTGTGTGTGTGTATACACATTTTTTTTTTCTTTTTTTTGCTCACCCGAGTGAAAAGGGTATAGAATCTTAATTATAGGATGAGTAATGATGTGCTGTAAACAGAATCAACAACTGTCTTTTGAAATTATAATCTAAAATCAATTTAAAATTTTAAATTATAATGTAATTCATGGACAAGTGGCAGTGGTTGTGCTAACCCTAATTCACATTAAAATCTGTATTTCAAAAGGTGAACCTACTTTTCCTTTTAGGGAAAAAATAATTTTACTATTCTAGTATTTTACTTCAGAACTTTTGACAGTAAAGAACTATAGATTCTCATTTTTGAAAGGAATTATTTTGTATCCAATGGATAGTATTTCCTAAAAAAAATCCTGCTTATCTCTTTTCTGAGTTTACTCAGCCTGCCTGTTCTGTTTTGTTTTTTTTCTTCACGGACAAATTTAATGCATTAAGGGGAGAGTTCTTTTTCTAATGTTCTGTGTTGAATTTCTCTTGTTTATCCTTGTTCACACCCTGAAATTCAAACCTGCCTTCTGCGTTCTTTCTGAACAGTCTCTCCTTCCCACTCTTTCTTTCCTGTTTCCAGTCTCCTGTCCTCGCTCCTCTGCTGCAGTTGTTCTTTCCCTGGTCCTAGTGTCTCTGTTTTGTATTCTCAACATGATGCTTTCAGTTCCTTCACCATTAAAATAAAGGAACTCCTAGCCAATCCTTTTTCAAGACTCAAAAAAACCCCACCCCTTTTCTAGAAATACTTGGAGAACAGTTTAGACACCTGCTCTCAAAATTTTGCTTTAATTTAAAAGTGGAAAAATTCTTAAATGTTAGTAGAAATATTAGTGATATTACATCTATTACATATCATGGGTCACTGTCTCTTGATGGCACTGTCAACATTCAACAGATAATTTATAATTCAATGAAAGTATTAACACACGCATATTATTCAAATACAGTAATTATGATGCTCATCATTAGATTTAGCAAAACAGCTGCATTTTGAGTTTCTTCTAAAAAAAAGAATTATTTAATTTGCCAAATTAAATAATGCTTAGTGAAAATGTTAATTCGACAATAAATCACAGTTTCAAATGCCAAATGCCCCAGCTTAATTTTGTTTAGAAAGTTTATTTAGAGAATACAAATGTGGCATACTGTTCCTGTGTGTCCAGCTTCACAGATGAAGCCTGGCGCCTCATAGCAGTCGGGGTAGAGGACCTTTATGCGGGCGCTGTGTGGTGGCTTACACCTACACTGCTTACCGTCCCCCCACCCCTTTTGCCCATATTAGCAATCTGCTTTTGTACTTTGACATCCAGGATTTCCCTGGTGAATTTTGTCACAGAAAAAAGAGAATCATCAATATCGCAGTTAAACTTGACTTTCAAAGCTAATAGTATCTCATTTGGGGGCTCAAATTTAATAAATTTTCTTTGATTCTGGGTGAGTTTTTAAACATCAAACAATGAATTGGCCAGGGTGCAGTAAAATATTTAGATCTATTGACTATGGTTCAGAAGGGTAGAAGGCAAAACACCAGTGGTTTGATGTTGATAAATTCTCAGTACCTTAATCCACATTAATGTTTTCTTTTATCTGAGTATACATTGGTGACAAAAAAAAAAAAAAAAAGGCACAAGAAGGTATCCATACATATAAAATAGAAAACTAAAGTAAATATATTTGTAAAATGTGATATATTCTGTTATGTTAAGCAAGTTTAATAGCATTCTCATTCTGACTGAAGACTAGAGAGTATTTATTACAGGTATATTCTGAACTGGGACTCCAGTGTGCATATAGCCCTCACACTGTTATAAAAATTGCCTTATAGTGTATGCTTTACAGCATACACTTGACATTCACTTATGGACAGAAATTCTGCAGGTCAACTTGGGAGTATAAGGATTTTTATACCCATGGAATAGCATGAACAATTAACGATGTCATCATATGTTTGTGTGTATTTTTAAGGAAGCTCTACATAGTATGATAGTTTATTTAAATTATTCAAACAGTTTTACAAGCTCCCCATGTAGAATAGAAAAATGAAGGACAGGTTTTCTGCCACATACAGGGTGTGGCAAAAGTAGGTTTACAGTTGTTTGTATGGAAAGTAATACAATAATTAATAAATAATAATACAAGAATAAGCTGTGTTTCATGTGCTCACGTGTACTCACAACTGTACACCTACTTTTGCCCCACCCAAGTACCATTTGAAGTTGTTCAGGTAAAATTAGAGATTAAATACATTTATTTGAGCAATTACTGTTATTTTTATAGTTCTCCCCATTTTTATCTTTGCTAAAAAGTTCATTAAAAACTCTTTATCCTGTGACTCTAAGCTAGTGGTATATTTAACAAGTATATGGCAGCAGAGAGATAAATTTTTAAAACGAATTCAGGCATAAGGAAAGTTAGAAAATTTGCCTACATATGAAAACTCCTATGATTAAACTATATGATTAAAAATGAGAGCTTACTGATCTTAAAAGTAAACTAAAGTGTGGAATTTTTAAAGCTCTTCCTAACCTAGGAAATTAATAATGAAAATCTGTTTCTGAACATTTTCTTATGTCTAGTATTTGTTCTATACAGGGAGTATTTTCTCATTTGTCCAGAAGGTGGCAGTGTAATATCAACTGCATGTGATTCCTATACTGGCTAGAGAATTGGTATCTCCTGTATCTGTGAAATGTTTGTATTGTTACCTTTCCGAACACTTAAAATACAGTACAAATTCTACTGATTTTATCCATTACCTTACTTAGAAGTTGCATGACCAAGTTGGTTTATGTGTACTTAGTCAATAAAACTCAAGTTTAATAAGAGTAAAAAGGGCAAAAAACCTCTTACTAGAATATTTTTAAGTATCCTTGTTTGTTGAGTGTATTTGTTTTTATTCCAGGGTACATATTATTGAAGTTTTTTTCTAAAGACTAGTACCTAATAATTATCTTGTCCAATATATATCAGTTAAAACCAGTTAAGTTAAACATGTTATTAAGAAAGTGATAATAATTAGGAGAGTACTGTTTGTTTTTGATTTTGTGGATTTTACCCCCTTCTTTCCCTTTTCTTTTCAGGGTGGAACAGTGAAAAATAATTCAAAACCTCTTGATCAGAAGAGCTCCAGTGACTCTTCTTCCCTCCCTCATTTCAAGCAGGAGGATGCTTTTTCTTCTTAACATTCTCCCCCAGCACTCTGAATTAGAGATTTATTTGCAACGAAAAATCAATTAGTCCTAAATTTATTCATGGATTTCAGGTCCAGCGATCAATGCAAGTCCACTCAGTGGGCTCAAGGGGACCCAGTTCATCCCAGTTAATGTGTCTGAAGGGGAATTACCATTGATGCTGTTTTTTTCCCTTTAGGTCAGAGATCAGATCTCGCTGTCACGGACTGCGGCAAGTAGGAATGACTTCACCCTGCAGCTACCCAAACTGCACCTGGAGACCTTTGCAATGGAGGGGCTCAAGGGCGGGCCAGAGGTTGTAGCGTGCCAGGTTAGAGTCTAATAACATTGTTTGCTACTGAGATGTGTAGAAAAATAAATAGCACTAACTGAAAACAATGAAAGTCTCAAAGTATTGTGAATAACATAATGGAGATGCAAATATTTTTTCTTCTATCATGTAACACTATATTTTACAGATAATTGTTTTTTTCCAGCCTATTAAATAATCCCCCCAAAGTATTTGTTATTACCAAGGAAATATGTCTTTTATAGCTAAGTACAATTTTAAAAAATACTTTCTAATCAGCAGAGGACAATAAGACGTGAGGCTGTTACCTTTTGAAGCTAGTTAGTCTCAGTTTGCAGCTCTTGCTGTTTTAAAATAAATCACTTTAGATAGAATTATCAGGAGAAATATTTGAAATATTTCAATGTTAATTCCAAAGTGTATCCAACATTTCTTACATGGTAATTTATTTAATTTCAGCAAATCTAGAACTGTGCTTGGCAATGTATAGTGTTTTGCCTTTTAATGTTTAGTTTTAATGAACAGTGTAATATGTGCAAAGTGAGTTATTTCATTTATGAAACTATAAGCACCAAATCACAAAACCTCAAATAATTTTAAGAGAAAACTTAAAGAAAATCATTTTTAAAAACATAATCGTTTTCAGATGTTGTGTGTGTCTTTCTATTCTAGGTTGCTATTGTGTCATTTTATTCCTGAGGGTTAAATTTTTTTTTAAATTAGACAAAACAAAATTCAGTGTCTGCTCTTAAACTATCCAGTGCCTTTACTAGATAAATGCATGAGCATTATCTAAACTGTAGGGAGCCTGATATTTCAAAAGAGTTTGTCCTTGTTCAAAAGCACTCTAGATTTTTTATTGTGTTTAAAACACTAATATCTTAAAACTCAGTCTGTTTCACATTCTGAGGTTTGAAATAAACTTTTTATTTAGTTTATGACCCTGTGAAATTTTAATTATGTAAAAAATTAGTATCAGTCCAAATGAGGCTATGTTAAATTTTCTACATGTTCCACACCCTAATTTAATTCATTATTAATACTGAAATTAATGTTCTACAAAGAAAAAGTAAATACTAGTTGTTTCTTTCATTAGATTATCCATCAATATTCTCATTGTAACTGTGAGTACAGTATGATTTGAGATTTTTCTAGGGGTTGTAAAATAATTCTTTACTTGGCTGCCTTGATTCAGAAACTCACAAGGCTTAATACTTTTCTTAATCCACAAATAAAGACTCCCCAAACTAGATTTGAGTGATTTGGAAAGAGACTGATTCCCTGGGATACCATTTTTGGGGCAAACCATGAACTCTATGGTTTTCACATTTGTGCGTAGCAAGAAAGAAGGAAATGTATAGACCCATATTTTAAACTACTGTTTTTTTCCAAGTTCTAATAAAAAGAGTTATGCACGTCACCATACACCTAAACACTTGGGTAAGTTTTGCATTGCATGCTGTAATAATACATTGTAGTTTAATAGTAATATATTCTGGTTTAGTATTCCATACAGAGAAGAACACATGACTTGGGCTGTAATAACAGTGTTTCACACATACACACAGGCACCCACACCCCCACACTCCCTCGCACACATAGTTGGTGATGTACTTTTAGTACTTTGGGAAGTACTTTGGGAAGAAAGACACTGTATTAACTGACATCCTTAATTATCATAACAGTACCATATCAGTGAGTACTTACTATGCACCAGGTATCATGCTCAGCTCTTTAACTACATGATTTCATTTAATTTTCACAATGAACCTGTCGAGTACATGGCATTATCTCCATTTTACAATTTACTGTAAGAGAGTTTAGGTAACTCTCCTAAAATCAACAGCAAGTAAATGGCAGGGCCCAGAGCCTGGATTTAGTCTACATGTATTTGACTGCAAAGCCTTAACTGATAAAATCTGACACTAAAAAATCTAGACACCTATGTTAAATGGTAAGACTAAAATCCTTTAAATCTATAGTGAGTTTTTCTTACATTTACAAGAATGTTCATTCTGCATCCATGATGATGAAGGTCATAGTTTATGTTGTACTATAGACAAATTCACAGGTAAAAGACTTTCCATTTGACAGGCTGCTATTATGGAACTCTACTTTTTACCTTTTTCCAGTATCTAAATGTGCATGTTTATGCTAAGTGTGGCTGCATAGTTAGGCATTCAGTGTTTGTTTAGCTTTGTACTCAGTGCTGGTGGAGTGCAGTGCTAGTGAGTCATGGCCTTTGATTGGATGAGGATGGGATCACTGTGCAGGCTGTGCTAGTGTAGGCACTGACCTGCACCTACACAGCCATCATCTGGAGCAGTGGGTGCTGAAGGTTTCCTAGACAGCCCTGTCTGTCTTTCCCAACAGGGCAGGCTTCATTGTAGGTATAGTTCCATACAGAAGGAAGACCAGTGAGCATGACTGAGAGGCGAAGAGGAAGAAGGGATTACCTTTTCCTCTCTGGACCCAGAAGAGTACACAACGGATGCTCTTCTACAGGAGAAAATTCAGTTTAGCTGGTCTCTGAGATCTGCTAGCTCTTAGCCTCAATTTTCTTATCTGCAAAAAAGTGCTGTGCTACCCATTTGCCAGGCTTGTTAGTAGGACTGACTGAGGCACGAAGGAGAGAGCACAGTGCTGAGCACACCGGAGGCAGGCAGTGCAGGAAGGCTGTTCCCTTGCAGCCGTCATGGGGCCCCTGTAATGATAAGGTAAGCAGTAGTGGCTTGTTTTCAAGACTTTTAAGGGGTGTGTGGCATTTTTTATTTTGAGGAATGGTTATTTGGCATCTTTTTTTCTATCTTTCCATTTGGATCCATCACTCTCCCTTGTTTCTTCAAAAGCTTGAAATAATTTTGGTCAAGATCAATGTTACTTCCCTACTTACTTTTCCATGTTACTTGATGTTCCAGTGAGGCCATACTGCCACTAAAACACTTTGTTTTAGCTTCTATGGCAAGTTTAGAAGCATTATATCTGTGCTCTCATCTCCCAAATAACAGCATATCAGGCTACCAGAATACTGGGAAAAAATAAAAACGCCTAGATTAGGCAAGTGAGCTGAAAAGTCCAGTGTAGTGTGAATGCAGAGGACGTGGCAGTAGGAATATTTTGCCATACTGTATAAAATTAATGACCTGTTATTCGTTATCTTATACTTTGAGTTTTGTGTTTTTAATAATTATGGTATATAATGATTTAATATCTGGCAAATATTAGCAGGCATGTAATAAGTGTTTGTGTCTTCATCCTCATTCAACAATAAGCCAAGAACAATATCAATAGCTAACATTTGTTGGGTGCTTATTCTGTACCAGTTACTGTGCTAAGTACCTTGCATATACTATCTCATTTAATCCTTGCAGCAGCTTATGAATGATAGGTGGTCTGCTTTTGTCCATTTTACAGAGAAAGAAGCTAAGTTTATTGAGATGAAGTAAATTGCTAAAGATCTGAGAGAGAGAGAGAGAGTGTGTGTATGAAGATGGCTGGGAGGGAAAGAATAAAGGTAGGATCTGTCTGTAGAGTACAAATTTCATTTGTGTGGAAATAGTGGTGAGAATAGGAATCCAAAAGAGGTTAACTGGGAAAATTACTTAAACTGTGTATTTCGGCCTCTTCATCTGTAAAGTGAAGATAATAAAGGTTTCTAACTCATTGTCGGGTGCTAAAGTGCTCAGAGCAGTGACAGGTACATTGTAAGCACTCCGTCTTTATTTGTTAGCTGTCCGCTGATAGGAAGCTCCATGAGGCCAGGGGCGCGGTGCTGCTCACCGCCATGGCCTCGGAGCTCAGCTGTGCCGCGCTCCGGCCCAGTAAGTATGGGGGAAGGATACTTGATTTCAGACACTGAGCAGGTTAACTCAGGATGTAGCTTGGCCTAAGTTGTGAGACTTAGTATCAATTTTTTACTTCTAGGCCCATTTCATTTGAAAAGAAAAAGCTCCCCAAACCATCTCATAAAAGGTGTTAAAGGCTTAGTGCATAATAACTATACCTCTGGAAATAGTACATTTTATAAATTTGTGTTTATAAACACTTCATTAGAAGGGCCTCATTGTGAAACCACTTATTTATAAAGATTTTAAACAGTCTTCACCATAATAAATACAATAACCCCTTAATCACCCCTAACCCATTCCATAGTCCTCATCTGCTGTGGGGTGTTGTTGTGTGAGACCCACGACTTTAGGGATACCATCATTTTTTTCATTTATACTTCTTATCCAGGCATAGAAATTACTTACAGCTATTTGGTTGTATTTATAGAATTAAATCAAAAAGAGCATCTTGAAGGGAATTTTGTTCTCATTTTTTATGTGTAGAAGAAAAATAATTATCTGTTCCTAAACTGTCAGGGAATAAAAATATCAAGACTCACCGTTGGTAATTTTTTACATGTGTTCTCTGCTACTTAATGTAGCAGCCTTCTAATTGCTATACAAGAAATTTCTCCTTTTCTGGCACAGTTAGAAATTAATGAGATGCTACACAATTTTATGTGAAAGATTGTATTATTTAGATATTTTCTTCTTTGTTATTTTAACCACATAAGTGAATTTTCAGATATTTGGTTACTTTTTAAAATGTGAATATCAATCATTTTGAATGGAAATCTTGATAAATATGTCTAATGCTGTTTTTTAAATAAAAAGATTATACTTAAATTAAAATTTTTATTATGCTGGTTCATTATTATTGATATAAACTATTATAACAGCAGTATAAAGTACTCGCATATATAATGGCATTCGCCTTTAAACATTACAACTTCAGCCCTGGCAGGGTGGTTCAGTTGGTTGGAATGTTGTCCCATACACCAAGAGGTTGTGAGTTCAATTCCTGGTCAGGGCACATAATTTGCTTGTATGTTTGATCCCCAGTCCTGGTGCATACCAGAGGCAGGGGGGCAACCAATCAATGTTTCTCTCTCTCTCTCTCTCCTTTCCTCTTTCCTTGTGTGAGGATTAGACAAAACAAAACAAAACACTACAACTTCATATAAATTTTGCTAA